TGAAGAAACAAAACTGTGATGTAAACAGAAGGAATGATAGAAAGAAGGCTACCTGTAGAGGGTGTAAGATTTGTCCCAGTTTTTCTCTGGCAGCCTCAAAGTTCTGTTCCCTGTTGCTGGCCTTCACAGCTGCCAATCCATCTGTGATGATTTTCCTTCCCTCCAAAATTTGTTCATTGTCCATGTGATACCGTGCTTGGCTGAAAAGAGTTAAGTCTACTTGTTTATTCTTTGATTGGATCAATTGGATGGTTTGGAGGAAGCTCTTGGATGATTTTGATGCTTCACAGGCAGCAGCAACAGCATCAACAGTCAGAGACTGTAGACACAAACACACACAAAATGAATAATACTAATTATAAAGCCACTGGTCATTTAACATAATAAAGTCAATATAAAGTGGTTGACATTAATCCTTACAGGAAAAGTGAAGTCTTTGCCCTCAGCCAGGGCCAGAGCACGACATGTCTGCACAGTGGTATTTAAGATTGCTCTCTTAGTGATCTCCTGATGACTCAGAGATTCTCCGCTGGATAACCCAAACCCAGAAGCTCCAGTCTGCAGAAGCAGGAAACACAAAGCAGCCAACCCAAACATCACTGCACAACCTGTCAGAGAGACTAACACAAACACAATAGCTTATTAGCTCAGGGTGTCCAAACATTTTTGAATGGGAGCCAGCTTAGATAATGGGAACATACCTGGGGGCCAGCCACTTCTCACATCAGATGGATTAATTAAAAAAGAAATCACAAACAAATGAGACAAGCTCAACTGGTCCATATTTCAGTTAAAATGTATTCAGCTTTAAATCGCTGCTGAAAGCAGCAGCCCCCACTGTCCTCACTTTAAGTTTCTTTGCTACCTAGAAGCAAATGTCTGCTGGTAGGTAACCATTTTGTTTGCTTGTTTACAGTCTGTTTATGAAAACACGTCAGTTCCACCTACTTGTTGCATGTCTACAAACTGTGTGCCATTGTGAAGTGATAGAAAGAAATGCAAAATGATGTTGCTTGATTAACTAATATTATGTAGTGAGCCATGTGTATACATACATACACTGATATTTTTTAAAAAATGTGTCAAGTCAAGGGCCGTATAAAATTGGCCCCCGGGCCAGACTATAGACATGCCTGATATTAGCCATTAGTCTGTAGTCCATAAAGTCGACTACTGCTGTAAAATATAGTAGGGATCACCTTTCATCCCAAAAGGATGATTCCTGAAGATTTTGCTGTCCTTTGATCTAGAACCACCGTCAGATTAAAATTCCCCCTTAATTGATAATCTGATCCAAAATACATTTTGTAAAATTTAAGATAAACTTTACTGACTGCACACAAATTTGCTACTAAAACAAGTTTAGATTTTTGGTTATAAAATCAACCTCCTAGAGTTGACAAACCTCTGAATAGAGCAGGATGTAACGCAATAAACAGAGAATTTTACTACGACAGGATTTCTGTCCAGCACTCGAAAAGTCACAGCAGATCACACATCTTAACAACAATTCATTACTTCACATTGACACAAAAGATGAATGACCATTTTGGGCGATTTGGCTTTTTGGTTAATTTAATTTAAAGTTATTATTTTATAAACATTGCAAATATTTATTAATATAATACAAATTCTTACATCCTCAAAATTCAAGACATGGAAACAAAACACTAAAAGAGTAACTTAACTGTTCTGGTACTGATTAATAAAAACATTTTTTTTTCTAAATGATTTTCCTGTGTAAAACAGTGTCAAGCTGGTTCATATGAAAATGTAAAAACATAAACATATGACATGTTAGATATGATCATACTGTACCTTAGGTCTTGATGTTGACTTGTAAATTTCACTTTTCTGTAGCTAAGACTTGATTTATAAAGCTTCAAATACAGGGAGGAGTCCTTACTGTTCTGGACTGGTTTGACTTGTTGCCTTGGCCTGTTAACACCATGCGTATGATTTGGTTGTTGGTAAAGAGGAATTACTAAGTCATTTTTGTACTTCATGTTTCTCTTATGTTATTATACAGCAGATATCAGCTTTGATTTCTGATGATGCCATTAAATTAATTCATAAGCAGCAGAGGATGTTTTTCCTATGCTGCTTGGACAATATACCTTTTGAGGAGATACTGGTGCTGATAGGGGCTGAGGGTGAAACACACAAGCACAGACAATACTCATATTGAACACTTCAGTGAAATAGCATGAAGATGCAAACAGGATACTGCTACTGCTACTTATGGTTGAAATAAAAGAAGTAAACAACAGAGCTTTCTGCTGTGACTTTGAATTCTTTCATTTTCACTTCTGATGACAGGTGATGTGAGAAACCTGTTGTTTCACTCACAGTACCTGACAGCAGATGACTGTATGTGCTACAGTACAATATAAGGACCAGTAAGGATCATTACTCCCATTTTACTGAAAACACATGAATCCTTACAACTGAAAACACTTAAAACATGGTCTTATTTAAATGTAAAGAAAAATGGCTTCTGTTCCGCGTGCTCATCAGTGCATGAATCATAAGTACATTGTTGTAAAAACTTGTGGAACAGGAAGTTTTGTAAATCATGACACATGTAGCATTAACCATGAAATACAATTCCTGCTTGTCACATACATCACATGATGATTGTGACGACCCACTCTGATTTGCATCATCTTTCAGGAGCCTGGTGGGTGGAGTCGGTTCATCAGGGAAATTCAGCTCACCTGAGCAAGCTGGAGGACTATGTACCAAGTTTGGCTTTGGTAACATTTAGTTCATTACTCGCTTCCATTTTAGTTATATAAAATAAACTTCTGAGTTACAACTCATGAGCTGGGTAGTAAAATGATGCACCTGGACACATCAACAGTGATGTTACCTGGGGCCATTGGGTATTTCAGGTCTTAAGACAATCAGACATCCTTGTAGAGAAGACCCAGCTGAGACTGATCAAGGCTCGGCTTGTATCCAGGTAGCACTACCCCATGCATGGTTCTACTGTACAAATCCACAGCCACCTTAAAGCAACTTCTGCTTTCTCTGTGGCCAACCTGATGGCCCTTCGCCTTCTGGCCCCAGTGATGCTCAGCATGATGGAGGCCCTGCAAAGGGACTGGCCTGCAAACCCTCTGCATCCCACCTCAGTGGGCTCACACCTTGCTTGCCACTCATTGCTTTGGCANGGAGGCCCTGCAAAGGGACTGGCCTGCAAACCCTCTGCATCCCACCTCAGTGGGCTCACACCTTGCTTGCCACTCATTGCTTTGGCATTCTTCCATGAGATCAACGTACTTTGCCCTCTTCATCTCGTTGGCCTCCTCAGTGTGGTGCTCCCATGAAACATGAGTTTCAAGAGAATGACCAACAGTCACCAACACAGAATGGCAACGGTTTCTGAACTTCCCCAGGTCACCTTTCCACTCCCAGTCGCTCCCAGCAGGCCAGAAGAGGTGGTACTGGCAGCCAATGTTAGCTTCTCTCTAGCCCTGATGAATGCGATGGTTTTCTTCACTGGGCGGAGGTGCTTGCTGGTGCTAATCCCACTGCAGATGGTGTCCTCTATGGCCTTCAGGGCTTGGTCATGGTGCTTGTGACAGCATCCCTCTCCCAGGGCTTTTGATCAGCAGCTGAGGATGTGCTCCGGGGTCCCTCTCTTCTGACATAGAGGGCAGACTGGTGACTCCAGCTTCTCCGAGCAAAGCATGTTAGATGTCATACACAGTCTGAATTAAGAATCTTATAACACTTTATCATTCCTTGACTGACACTCACACCTCATCTTAGATCAGCGACCTCTTGTCCTTCCCCTACACTTTGTCATAGCAAGGTGTTGTGCTGCTATTCAGGCAGGTGCAGTGGTGTAGTGGAGGGTATATGCAGGTATATGGGGTATACCCACCTCTTTTTCTGGCTGTACTGCATACACACCTATCGGCCAAAAAGCCATTGAAATATATGTGAGAGTATACCCATTTCCTCTTCCGTAACTTACCCATTTGCGTAGTAGTGCACCCACCCCATCAACTACCACTACACCACTGGGCAAGTCCTTCCACCAGATACAACACCAAGGCCCTGTGTTGTAGCTGTCAACTCAGCGAAATGCAAAGAGGAAAGGAAAGTGTCCTTTTCAATGCCTCTTTTAAAAAAAAACCTGCAGTCAAATTTTGCTTACGTAAAATTATTATCAGTAAAATAAAAAGTAGTAAAAGTAAAAGTATTAATTGTATAGTAAAAATGTTCCTGATCAGTGTTTTATTATTATATGATGTTTTTGGATTAATATTACTGCTCCATCAATGTGTATGTTGTATTTTACTGCTGAAGACGTATACAGATGTGCCAATTTTACCTAACAGATTTTTTTAAAAGAGTTTATAAAGCTTAAGGAGTTGAAGAATTTTTCTCAGCATATAAAAGAACACTTCCTCCAACATTCAATATTAGCACATCTTAAGACACATGGTTTTCACTGGACAGGAAGGGGATGAAAAACTGTGATCTCAGAGGTAACTTAAGCTGTCAGACAAATGTAGTGGAGTTAAAAGTACAAATTATTATCTCTGAGATGTAGTGGAGTAAATATAAAGTAGCATAACATGGAAGTTAGGTAAAAATACCTCAAATTTGTACTCTAGTACAGTACTTGATGAAATGCACTTGGTTACATTCCACCACTAAACTTGTTATTTGTCGCTGTACATGGGTGACCAAACTGTTTTGTAACTGGTATAATGTTATCAGATCTAACTCAAATTGTTTGCCCCATCACAAAGCCTGAAGTTGCACAGTTTGAGCAGAGCCATGGTTTCTGTATAAACACGTGATTTGATTGAATTGTTCCTCCACTCTAATGATTTTATACCTATAAGGTTCAGGAAGGTCATTTTTGTTCTCTGCCAATGGCGATTTTAAGGGGTGGCCTGGGGTGGCCACCCCTGAAAACTCATTGGCCACCCCTGTGGCCACCCCAGATCTGATAGGTAGCTGGTCAAGTCCGTCAACAAAAGAAACAAGAGAAATGCTGCCAATCAATGATGACAGGTAATCAGCTGATTTAGGGCCAGTTTTACATTTTTAACTAACACAGTAATGGTCGTACTGAGGCTGTGAGAGATGATTTCTGCTCAGAGGACATTTGGCCAATGGCCATGCAGGTCTGATAGGTGAGCCATCAGCCATGAGATGAGCACGCCGCATCTGCTGCTGCTGCTGCTGCTAATGAAACAGGAGGACGGTCACAGTGACAACGTCAACTGCAGAACTGCTGGATAAAGACGGCACGCTGAATCAAAGCCAACGTTTCAATTTATGCCTTCATCAGGGCCCTGCACATGAATACTGTCTGGGTTGCCTCAATTAGTAGAGCAAACACAGGTAACAATACAGGTGACACAGATGATAAGCTGATGACTGATTAATGTTATTCTATAGGATGAGTTAAGAGCAGTTGAATATTGCTACCCTAATCGAACTTGTGAAGAGATGAGGACTTTAATCCACTATAAGGAAATGGCTCTTAGAAAATTTGTACCCTATCCTGAACATAATTACTGATTAAAAATCGACATGTTAAAATAACCAGAGATTCCTGAGGACTGTGATAGGTGGAAACGGAATAAAAAAAAGAGTCTTTTTTTTTTTTTCAAATATTTTTTTACCTGCATAGACACCTTTATTTGACAGTTACGAGACAGGAAATCACGGGAGAAAGAGGGGATGTGACGTGCAGCAAAGGTCCTCCAGCCAGGATTCGAACCGGGGTTGGCTGCGTACGTGGCATTATACTTCGCTATGCCATGGCCACCCCACACTAGCTTTGTGTCCCATCTTGGGCACCCCAGTAAAAATGTCCTGGATATGCCACTGTTCTCTGCTGCAGTTTATGTGAAGAGCACTGTTTGTTTCCGTCATCTATTCTTTCTGTCTTCTGTTGTCACATTATGGTGCTAACAGCCACTGATGGTTTTTATATGTATACAATGTGAATAATCACCAGTTGCTGCGTTCATAATATTGATGCTGGACCTACAGTACAGTACAGTACAAACTGATGTATTGAATGATATTGCTTTGTTACCAATTGACCTATGACTAAGTCCCGCCCTCAAACGCGATGAGCCAATCACAGTGCGTATAGCCATTCCCATACACTCGGACATTCTCTGCCTGGACGTTCATTGAAATGCATTACAGAAAGTCAGTTTTGTTCGGTTTTATGAGCTTTTTCGGAGATTTGAAGTTTAAAAATGGTGTGCATGGGGTACATGCAACTCCGACACAAGGTATCCTGAGAGGCTGGGCGATGGGGCATATTTTTTATCCTTTCCTAAACCACATCTCAATCGAGAAAAGTGTCTCCTTTGGATAAAGTTGTGTGGTAACGATATACCACAACATCAACTCAACGTGAATAAGATTAATTAGGATGTCTACATCTGTTCTAAGGTAAGTCAAAATTGTGTTTGCGGCAACATATTGTCACTTTGCTGGAAAGAAATATAAAGTTATCTTTAACATCTCTAGCTAACGTTAGCTAAAGTTAGCCTAACGTTAGCCACTAGCTGCATTAGCCTATTTTGTTCTAGTTTTGTACTATGGTGATCGTACATCATTGTTAGCTGTTGTCCAAAGGGCTCTAGTTAAGCTAACGTTAACTTCTGGAGCTTAGCTTCATTAATTTATCTGTAATCGCAGAGATAACAAAGGTTGGCAAAAATTCAGTGGCACTTTAACTTGTTGTCTTAACGTACACTATGACCTGTAAATTTTGGCTTGTAATTTAAGCTTTTTATCGACCTTCTCAACAATAAAATGATGAATACATCCCTCCAATGCGTAGTTTAGGCCCTTTAGGTTACTTCTAAATGAAATCAGATCGTTATGTCCCCAAAAATCATCAATTGCCTCCTGCGAAATGCCGTGTACTGGGACACCTGCCATAGCCCCGGTCACTGAATGTTGATAGTTTGTTGATAGTGACTGGAGCGTGGCTTAGCCATAGGTCAATTATGAGTAGCTATGATAGATGTTACCCTCTGATGATGTAACGTAATCTGACGCAGCTAGGTCACCTTTATCTCCTTCAACTGTTGCTATACAACAGGGCTATTCAATTATATTGTTCATAGGGGCACATTTTCAGAAAGCTAAGGGCCCAGGGGCCTGACATTTCCCTGAGCTATTATTCTCACTATGTATGTACACTTGACACAAAGCACCACCACATTTTCACAACTTTAACTTTGCTAAATTGGGTCTTTGAATAGAAAATCCCGCATGCTGCTCTTCGGTCCTCGTGGATGTTCATCAAGAGGATCGAAACGTTAGTGTTGCTAATAAATTGTGAAGCTGAACAAGAGCAGTGTGCAGGATTTTCTGTTCAAAGCCTCAAGTGATATTGTCCAACACACCTGCATCTGAGACAGATGGATGTGCGAATACCTTTCTTCAGTCTTTGCTAAATTCCTAAAGAAGTCTAATCGTAAACCAACCAAAAATACGTCTTCTTAAGTAGACAAATGTTGAAAGATTTATTGTGACCAAAGTTGGGGTTTTTTTTGCATGGGTTTTAAATTTTATTTATTAGTACACATAACCCCATTCCACAATTTAACATCAGTAGTACTGAAAACTTGACTCAATGATCCTTGATTGAGATATCATAATTAAATTGACATGCTCAAATCTCCCTAATATATTCACAACCCCATTAACCATTTAAAGGTTTTACACTACCACCAAGCGCCCTGTAATGCCCACAGAACATGTTGTTAATATTGCATAGCTTAAAGATTTCAATATTGTTTTACAGTGGTATGATTCACCAAGTTGTACACACACTCACGAACCAGATTATTAGGCTCCCCTGACTAAATCAACTTAGCTGGACCAAATATTATAAACACCTATGTGTGTAACGCATTACAGTTCCACAACACAATAAAACAACAGCCTCCAACATAACCAAAATGTTGAATTTAATCCCTCTCAGATGGTTTCAGTGAAAACTGAATGTTCCTTTACAAAGACCTACTATGGTAGAGTGATAGTAATGGATGGTATTATCAATTTTACCGTGGTACTGTCCATTGTAAAGGTTGTGTTTCAAGGTTCCAGCTCTGATACAAAATGTTATACATGTAATACGTAATATTTCTCATTTCAAGCTTTTTGTTTGCATATTTTTTCAGTTTTCGAGTGTTGGTTGAGCAAAACATGTACTTTATTTATTATTATAGGATCAATAGAGCATGTAGTTTATTTTCCAAAGCCAAAAGCACATTTTTAAATGTATCTCACCCCCACACTAACATGTAAGCACTCATTTGACCCCAAGTTAAAATGTTAAACTGAGCCCCAGGACCATGATGCTAAGGCAAACAAGAAAAGACTGAGCAGCTCTGTTAGACAAAGACTCAACAGCTGCTACTGTTGGACGCTGTGGGCTATTGGAGGCTGGAGCGACGGTCACAGCTTGTGAGCCGGTGGCGGCAGTTTTCCGGACGCTGTAGAAACATGTGGCTACATTACCCACCCGATCCACAACCACCAGCTCCACATCAGGTGAACAGCAAGACGCATTGTAGGAAACCAGGGTTATGTTCTCATTGTCAGTGGCCAAGCTGGTGTTCAAGGTCCCGTTGCCTTGTCTAAGGGTAATACGGTCGACACCCGTCCCATTAGCACCATCCGTCACCTGAACAGAGAGCTCCCACATTGATAACACGCAGTTATCAGAGCAGTTGGACTGTAGGCTGAGCAGCTCACACACTGGCTTAGTGATATCAGTCACCTATGAGGAGCAAAAGAAGGTAAAAGTCAGCGGGTTTTAGAAAAAGAAGATTACACATCATTCATCCCCAAGGGGAAATTCAGTTTTCTCACTCTGTTGTCATATACACAGGCCCGAAATACACACACATGCACAAACAGGACCTATCCACTTTATTCCTAGCCCCATGATCTCTTGCACGAAATATGTGCCCGACTTCCGGCATTGGGAATTGGGAAATTGGGAAATAAAACGTGGAACACACCAACTGTTATAGCTCAAACGGGATTTTGTGATCATACCTCTGCCATCACTGACAGCCGTCTCAAAGCATTGTTTTTTGCCCCCTTTTCAACCGAGCATGCTAGCAATTAGCTCGCCTTGCACCGTTAAAATATTGTTAACTTTGACATGGCCCAAGCTTCTGCTCCCTCTAAAGATGAATTATGATTTATAATGACTTATTAAGAGATACTAACACATAAATCAGTATTAACTGTAGTTCTATGTAAAGGGGATTTATGTGATGTTTCCAAGCTAATCCTCTTGTCTGCGCTAACCACGCAGTTTTAGGGATGCACCGAATATTCGGTAACCGAATATATTCGGCCGAATATTGCAAAAAACACACATTCGGTATTCGGTGGAATAAGTTAAAAGCAAGGCTGAATAATAGCGGCATGTTTTGATAACGCAATCAAACAGCGTTCCTTGACGGGCGGAGTAAAATGTCGGCAGTATGGCGATCCGCCCGTCACGGCACTCACATTTGTCGCAAATGAATGAATGAATGATTTAAGCCTATTTTGCTCGCTCAAAACTATTTTTAGTCGCTAAAAATAGTTTTGAGCGAGCAAAATAGGCTTAAATCATTCAGCACGCTGTGCGAGCAGCCTACAGATTTCAACCAGCAGCAGAAACGAAAGGCGAATCCCACCTATTGTGGGTTGAACGGGGGTCACAGACGTGGACAGTAATGCATTCCTGTCAATTACGGCGGCCATAAGCTTACCGGGCGACGGAGAAGTCGGCTCCAATAATATCCTCTTCTTGGTGTCATGACTGCCCAGAAGTACCTGAACAGCCGAGCCAGCCGAACACAGACCGTACGTGATATGTCAGAGGAGAAACGAGCCATTCACAGCCCACAAACCTCACTGCACTTTAGGGACTGTTCGTTACTTATGAAGGGACTTGTCAGGGGAGGAGGGTGGCTGGTTGATTTTTATTTTATTTATTTATTTTATTTTGATCCCCCCTATGTTAATCACTCATTGATGCTGTTTTTGAAGTATGAATAAGTCAATAAGTAATTTATTCCATTGAAATATCATTGATGTACTATAGAAAAGTGATTTATCTTTTTATAAATGACAAAAGGCACATCTGCCTCATTTTCGCTGTGGTATCGTGATACTACTCAGAACCATGGTATTTTCATTGGTTTCGCACAGTGGGTCCTAATTTTGGTACCGTGACAACACTAATCTGGAGGGGATTCATCTGCAGAAACTAAAAACTAAACAATGATATTCGGTATTCGGTACTCGGTATTTGGCCAAGCGTTTAATAATATTCGGCTTCGGCTTCGGCCACAAATTTTCATTTTGGTGCATCCCTACGCAGTTTACACGTTGTTTTAACTACTGATTTATTAAAAACTATTCTGAGCAAACATGATGCTGAATTTAGCAACAGACTTCAGTAACAGTAATATAAAGTAGTAGTAAAATAAATAACTTTTGGCATTCATTTTGTAATATGATAAAAAAGGAAGTACGGTAAATCAGTGACACATTCTCAGCCCTAATGACTAAATACATATTTCAAGGTATGTTGCTGAGTTTATTTTATAACGAGCAATTTTCTAATGTAGGTTGAGAATGAAGTCAGACGGAGAAAGACAAGGATACCATGTACTGACGTTGAGTGACGGACCTGTCAGTCGAGGTGTCATTCTCTTCTGCAAATTCTGATTTAATACTTTTTCACTATGTCTGGTGAAACACTTGTGGTTTTATTTCTCATATCAATGGTACCTTTGGCAACAGGAACAATCACTTTTTGTTCTGGTTACATGTTCAACACACAGTTGCTGAAGACAAAAATTTAGCTTAGACTGGTTGTTAGTCGTTACAGACACAGACAGTGCAATAGGTACCAGAGCTCCACAACAACGTTTTAGAAAATGCTACATGGGGCGTCACTGGCTTAGTGGTAGAGCAGGCGCCCCATGTACAAGGCTGTTGCCACAGCGGCCCGGGTTCGAGTCCAGCCTGTGGCCCTTTGCTGCATGTCATCCCCCCTCTCTCTCCCCCTTTCACACTTAACTGTCCTGTCCATTAAAGGCAAAAAATATCTTAAAAAGAAAATGCTACATTAACAATAGTCAGATATTTGTTAAAAAATAAATTAGTATTTGCTAAACTGAAGGCAAATTACTTTCGAAAAGAACCAGTGTTGGCGGTTAGCCACCAAGAGTAGCCACTGGGACGAACCACAGACAGTCTATGGGACTAACTAGCTTACTGCTACTTCCGCTATCTCACTGGAAGTTGCGCACATAATCATTACTACAGTAGTGCCCTCCAGTTCCCAATCCAGGTCCCTATGGACTGAGCTACTGCTGCCTCCAGTCATTAATTCAACCAATAAACACAGTGATGAAGGGATTAAATAAGACAGAATGATCATTCACTGCCTTAAAGGGATAGTTCAACATTTTGGCAAATTCGCCTATTGCTGTAATCCCTATAGTCATATGAGTAGGTACATTACCTTTAATTGCCAGTGCATGCTGTTCTGAGATCGGTGCGGCAGAGCTGCCCGCTGAAATGGAGGTGAACGGTACAGCTCCCTCTCTCCCTCAAAACTAATCAAATACACCATCAAATGACTCCAAAACACTCTAGTGGACAATGGCTTGCGCATTCCCCATGCTATGAAATAATAATATATTATTAAGTAACATTACAACACATGAAGCAAATACTCGGAACTACTTTCTTGAGTAAAACACTGGGCGGAGTGACACTGTGCGCAGCTGAGACAGTGCCGTTGTTATTGCTTGTAGCCATTTGCGGTATCGTTAGCTGGACACACCAGAAGGTATGAGGAAAGTTTACAAGTGTTTTTGTAAATAACGGTTTACACATGTATTGTAAAAGGTTGCAGTAGCAAGCCGAAGACATGGAGCAAAGTGAAGTTTCACGTAGTTTCAACCAGTAATACGGACAGGATGAAACAATGGCTATTTGTGCTGGACATCGACCCCAACACGCCTGTGGAAATGGTCCGGAAAATGTTTGTGTGCTCCTGTCATTTTTTACCGGAGGACTACACTGAAAGGATGGAGCGCAGAAGCTCAGGAATGGTTCAAACGCTTTTCTTGAAAGATACTGTCATACCATCTGTCGGCATCACAAAACGAGCAGACGTGGTAAGTGATCGTTGTGTAAATTGCTCAGCAATCTCTCTGCTGTAACGTTACCTCGATGTTGAGTAACATTAGCCTACAACCCAAGCATGGTAAATAAGGCTAAAATGCAAATGTTGTTGTGGTTATGTTATGGATAAGTGCTTGCCCAAAGCATATAATGAAGTGACTAGCATTACTTCTCATTGTTGGGAATAAACAGACTGCTAGGGAACATTTTATGTTGTTGTTCCTTCAGGAGTTGTGGTGATTTATGAGTGGGGAGTTAGCATGTTCTCCCCGTGTTCCGGTGATTATTTTGAGGCGTACTCTGTATTTATATTGCACAGGTGTACCTAATAAAGTGGCCAGTAAGCCCCACATTTACACCACCGGCTCTGGGTCTCCCCTCAGCCCCTGGTTGCTCGGCAGTCTCAGCCTCTCTTGCTCTCTCTTCTTCCAAAACCTGTAACTCTGCCTCTGTATATTCTGGCTTCTTCTCAACAAACGTGTTGTTTTGATGACGGGAGTAACTGCACTAAACATACACTGTTTGAAATCACTCCGCCCAGCAAGTACTGTATGTTTGGAATGTAGTTCCGGCTCTGCATTTGGCTTCAAAACAACTCTGTCTCGTAATATTACATTATTATTTCATAGAGTGGAGAATGAAAAAGCAAAAAATTGTCCACAAGAGAGTTTTGGAGTCATTTGATGGTGTATTTGATTAGTTTTGAGGGAGAGAGGGACCTGTACCATTCACCTCCATTTCAGCGGGCAGCTCTGCCCCACCGATCTCAGAACAGCACGCACTGACAATTAAAGGTAATGTACCTACTCATATGACTATAGGGATTACGGAAATAGGCGAATTTGCCAAAATGTCGAACTATCCCTTTAACATTGATTGAATTGTGATCTGTGAAAGTTACCGTTTCAAGGACAGTAAGACGCCGCACGACGTAGTTGGTGTCTGTGCCTCCTGAAGCCTCGGCCGAAATGGTCAGGGTGACGACAGTACCAGACACGGTGTTAAGAGGTGCTGTAAGGGTCACTGTACCATTGGCACTGCCGTCAGTTTCCAGCATTAAACTGGACGGGAAAGTTGAGGGAAAACTTTGGTCATTGGTAGCTTGGATGCTGAAGGTTCCTCCTGCACCGCTCGTCATCACAGTGAAGGGAACTGAAAGTGGTGTTCCTGGAACTAAGACGCTGTCTGAATCAGGCTAAAAACGGAAGGAAATCAGTCACTATCAATCTCAAAGACTGTGGCAGTACAGTTTATCTCAAAAGTCCTATCATAAGTTTTTAGGTAGATGCATTTTACGTACAGAAGTAACAGCCACAGCAGATGCTCTGATGTTGGTGGAGGACTGCCTTTGAAAGTTTGTTGAGGACATTCTGGAGGAACCATTGTTGCTCTGCCCTTTCACAAGCACCACAAACTCCTCTGCTGGTATTCTGTCAAAGTGAGCCAAGAAGTCTCCTCCACCCTGAGCCTCCACGTTGCCATTAACCTCTCCCGACCCAGACGATTCAACCAGAATGACTTCTGTCACTGTGGCGGATTCACTCCCGGTCACTGTCACCATCAGGCTACCATTAACACCTTCAGAAAAAGAGAATATCCACTGAAATATGCTAAAGTCAATTACTTTGGCATATCACAAACTTCTGGCTCCTTTACCACCTCTGGGACGATTGTCTACGACATCAAAACCTCCGAACGGGCCCTGCGATTCCTCCAAAAAGTTAAACAGGAAATCAACAGGACTTTCGCCTGCAAATAAAAAAGTTACAATAAACCAGAGAGACCAGATGTATGATCACCAGTAAATATTCATTACTTTTACCATTCCTTTGAAGCGTATTTATCACTATCATTATTTTTGAAGACTAAAATTACAAAATTAAGCACAATCCTCCACAAAACAGCTGATTCAACACCGTTTCTTCTGCAGAAGTAGTTTCAATGAAACCTGATGAATGCTGTCCTGAGGTCTGTGGAGTAACCAGGTACTCGTGACACTGTCTCGAATGACATATTTAATGTTTGGAGAACCAAAAACTAAATTTCATTCACCTCCACTATGTAGGTTGCTATTTTGCTGCTAGTGCAACAGCTTTGGTCCCTGTTTACCTCCTGAAGGCTTCTTGAAGGAACAATGATGGAAGGAAAGGTCATGACATCAGTGACAGCATGCGATTTTGTATTGGAGCCGGACTTTAGTGCCGCTTCTACTGAGGTTAATGGGGCGGACACTGCAAATCACACAATAACCCATGATTGTGTAATGCTTTTTCTAAATGTGTGGGTTCATTTTCCTTTTAAAATGTCAGTCAGCATTATGTAATGTGTGCTTTTTAATTTGGTGGTAGGATTTTTTCAATCAGAGTTGCAACAACAAAGATATGATGGGTTATAATGTAATTTGTCGTGCCCGCCTCATTGACTCCACAAGAGAAGTGGCACCAAACTCCGGCTCCTATGCAAGATTCCAGCGCTGTCACTTTAGTCATGTCCTTTAGATTCCATTAGATTGTTAATGTTTATGTAACCCCAATATCACAAATCACAATTTGCCTCTGAGGGCTTTACAGCATATAACATCCCTCAGTCCTTTGGACCCTCACAGGGGATAATGAAAAACTCCCCCAAAAGACCCTTTAACGGGGGAAAAAAATGGTAGAAACCTCAGGAAGAGCAACTCAGGAAGGATCCCTCTTCCAGGATGGACGTGCAATAGATGTCATACAGAACAGATCAACATAATACATTTGGTAAGGGATAGTTATACCTAAAGTATCTTAAGTATTGATTATGTCATTCAACCTCATAATTGTGGAGTTCTCACCTACAACCTTCAGAATGTAGGGATTTGTTGACACCATTTGAATTTCCCACAGTCCAACTTGTTGCTTTAGCTGCAGAGTCTTGAAATTTCCCACTGACTGGGATGCAGTGATCAGTGAGCCTGTCGTGTTGGTGCTTTCCTGAGACACACCTAAAAGGAGAGCAATGGCATGTAATGAAGCACACAGGGTAAAAAGCCAAAAGTTAAGCATTTAACCTTTCAATTTCTTAGAGCAGCTGCGTGAATTGTCGACCTCAGTGTAACGCTTAATATGACCATCAGTATGCTCCCATTTGAAACATGCGAGGACTCCGGTTCTTTATACAGATGGGTTTATCTTTTATTGATGCCTTCAAATAGCTAGCCTAGCTAGCTTCACGTTGCACCATCAATCACCACCGTAGAACTACAAACAGACACAAAATATAACAATGGATTTTGATATACACAGTCCATGAAATGACACAAAAGTTGAAATAAAAGTTACACAATAAAATTGTCCTGACCACTTTGCCCGCTTGCAGCTCCGAAATGGGAGGGGGGTTTAGTTTTTATCTTAAATCTTTATCTTTTGCCGAACAATAACGTGACAAACATGCCTGCTATCCATCATCTTCTGATCTGACAAAACCACAGTGTGGGAAAGTGAGGGTGGGACAGGAAGTGGCAATGACCAAATCTAATGGAATATCAAAATAAAGGTGCGATCTCTGTTGGTCAAACCAGGAATAGCAGCTGTACACAAAATCTGTATCAACAGCATTTACAACCAGATGGGGCCAAAGTCAGAAATTTCCACACAAAGTGGCTTTAAAGAACCTCCTCTACTCTTACAGTGATAACAACTTTAAAATATTTCATCTGCACAGAGTGATCACTTGAGTAGTCTCGCCACCAGACAATCAGAGATCTCCGCCTTCTGATAGTCTGGAGACACTCCTTTCTAAAGTGTGTTTAACACACCGGCGAAAACGGCCGGCAACAAAGCAACGCCTCTTGCATTTTTGAAAAGGACACGCCTTCTCGGAAATGTGTGTTCCCCCTTTTCTCGTCCGCAAGGAAACAAACACACAGAGAGCTTGAAAATGGATGCCGAGGGATTTAACTCCATTTTATCAAACGTGTGCTCATCCGTGAAAAAAATATTTTTTCCAGCGGATGTCTTAGTTACAACATGATTGAGCTAACTGGAGTAGTTTCATGTCGTATCCGACAACGGGAGGCTTTTAACAGATGACATCCTGATGTTAGCTTTGCTGCTGCTGTTAGCTGTCCCTGTCAGCTGCAGCCACTGGTGCTTTCTAGACATCGTGATTTCCGAAAACTGAATAACTACCACACATAGCAACACAAAACTGCTTTGCTAGCTCAATCATGTTGTAACTATGATATCCGCTGGAAAAAATATTTTTTTCACGGATGAGCACACGTGTTTATTGAGTTACTGGTTATTACAGACACCACTAACGGCTAACAGGGCTAACAGGGCTAACAGCTAACGGTTAGCCCAGCTAATCTACAATAACCGTGTTATTAATTACAAAACGTGCACACAGAAATAGTAATGTTTGTTCAATCATTGTGTTTATAGACTTTACAAACATCAGAGTAGTCTAAACAGTGATACAGAGATGTGAAAAATGTGAGATATATAGATATATATAGATATATATATAGCTAAACTCTGCTGGTTTTCTACCTGGAAGTATTTCTAAACAACAAGGCGATTCCCTCTATAGTCTGGCCGGACAGATGAGTCATGGCCTTGTAAAAGATTATGTTTGATTCTTTTAGTTGGCGAGAATGTGTCCCCGCAAACGCGACAAACATTCACTAACTTTGACGGCGTTTTCTGCGAGCGCAGCTGAGCCATTTTGTACCGCTACACGTGTTTCTAGTCAGACTATGTTTACAAGTACAAGAGTTCAGCGAACCACCAAAGGACCGCCCTGCGGATTTACTATTGGTTCTGCAACGTAGGGAGTTTTTTAAACTCTGAAATCGTATCCGCCCATCTAAACACAAAATCAGGGAGAAAGTCATCAGTCTTTAGTTAAGCAAAGCGTCTAAAGGCTGACTTGTGAGTCTATCACCTGAGGGACTGATAAGAGTAAAGGTCACAGAGTTCCCAGTGATGTAAACTGTGAGGTTTTTCACCGACTCGTCAACGGTGAAGGTGAAATTTTCAGCCTTTCCTGGATTCCTGGCTGCCTGCAGAAGGGTCACCTAGGAGGTTAAATGACACTGGTGTCACAACTGAATCGTAAATGAATTATGAATTTTGAAAACTCATAATGCACAGTGAGAGTGTTAATACCAGAGAGGAGCTGGATGTCTGTGTTATGATGCTGGTGGCTTCAAGGAGCTCACTCTTTGAGACTTCAATAGCCAGACCTCCTGAAGCCTGAGCCAGGTCTCTGTACAGCTGAGCATCTGATCTTGCCATTCGACTGATTGGTTGTTGTTGTTGGAGGCTATCATCACTCTGTCTACGACGACGAAATCCCAGAACGGCAGTTATCATGAAGTTTACCTAAAAAGAAATGAAAAAGTTTGAATGAGAATTAAGCCCATGCATAAGGTCTTAAAGTCTAGGGTCTTTTAGGTTAAACCAAATCAGAAAAGTCTTTAATAGCTAAACAATGTTTTTATATAGTTCTTCCAAAACTTTTGTTTATGATGAAATACTGTAGTGTAAAAGTTTGTGCCGACAAATCAAACAGTAAGGTTAAGATGTATAAATTGATCAAGAAACTTATATAATCATGTTTTTATGTATAAGGCATTATAAAGTTCTTTGATCTACATTTAAATATGATAAAGCATTGATGTATGTGTCAAAGTACTCATAGCACCATAGCACCAGACTAAGTAATCATGTTGTATGCACCTACTGAAAGAACACACTGTGTCTTGTTAAACGATGAAACACATACTCAAATGCTGTAATACATACACACATTTTTAAAAATAAAGTGAAAGTGAGACCAGATCTAAGGGAAGAAAACTTGGGAAATTCCAGGCTGCATTACACCATTAAAAATGGGCCCAATCAGAATTGGACACAAAGAAAGGTTTTCCACCAATAGAATTGGTCTTAAGAGGGAAAGATTAGCAAAAAGAGGTGGAGACTCATTTGAATCTCCACCAGCATATAAGCCAGGGTTCTGAGAGCAGGTTTTCAGTCACACTCCGGAGTCTGACTCGCTAAGTTGTATGTGTTAAAGCCTGTTGACACATTAAACTTGATTGCATCGGACTTTGCCTGTTTCCAGTGTTTCTTTAAGTATTTGCCAGCTGAGCCTAAGGTACCAAATCGACATCTGAGGACACCTGACAAGAGACAAGAGGTTCAAGGTCGGGAGCCTACAGGCCCACTTCCAGGCACCGATTTTTGACACTTCAATACCATTCCCTTCAGTCTCAGTAATGTGTAATGCTAAATAGCAAATGTTAGCATGCTAAACGATAATAGTGAACATGGTGAACATTACCTACTACTTACTTAGACATTAGTATTAGTGCCTAAGTACAGCCTCACTCATAGCCTCCTCAAGTTTTTACATCATGAGTTTTTATTTATTTTTTCATTACATTACACACTCTTCTTACACTATCATTTTTTACACCATTTGTTTGTTGTTACACGAATATGGGGTGCCGTTTGTAAAGTGGCTCACACTAAAATTAACAGCAGCATTTTGCCACATCAACATCAAACAATGTTTAAAAAAGTGGTGTGAATTTTTTAAAGTCACTTTTTACCACATTTACAGCAATATTTGAAATATGTTAAATATAATGTCACAGTTAAATCTAAATATTAAATGTTAAACCTACATGAAAAATTTAAATCTAAATGTTAAATCTAAATCTAAATGTTAAATATTAAATGTTAAATCTAAATCTAAATATTAAATCTTAATCTAAATGTTAAATCTAAATGTGCTTGGTGAAACTAAATATTTGGCTAATATGCAAATGCACACTGCCGGTCGCTGGAAGTACCAAAATAAAAGCCCAGGTGGTCAGACTGTGTTTATAGCATCAAATAACGAATTAAAACCAAACTAATCGGAGAAAATTAACACTTGAACATACATCAGCATGATAAGAACTACCTAAAATGACATAACCCATGTTTGGGGAAATTTTATTTGACGTGAACTTTGAGTTTTTAGTGTCCCATCCTTGCTTGCCAACATGCCAACATGTCCTGCGATTTAGCTGAAAACATTGGAAGGGCTGTTTTGGCCCAATTGAGAATTTCAGGAGTGTATCGTTGGTGACAGCAACAGCGACGGTATCCACCATAGAGCCACCACAGCACTCCGTAAGTTTGTTTTTTAACTCGCGTAGCATATGTTCCTTATGTCAGCATGTAAGCTATATGAAACTAGCTAACATTAGCTAGCTAGTTTTTGAAAAATAAAACAAATGTGCTATCCTTGAAGTACACTGCTGCTAGTAGCAAATCTCTACTGGCTAGCTAACGTCAAGGAGGGATGGGACACTAAAAACTCAAAGTACACGTCAAATAAAATTTCCCCAAACATGGTTTCTGTCATTTTAGGTAGTTCTTATCACGCTGATGCTATAAACAGAGTCTGACCACCTGGCCTTTTATTTTGGTACTTCCAGTGGCCGGCAGTGTGCATTTGCATATTAGCTAAATATTTAGTTTCACCAAGCACATTTAGATTTAACATTTCACATTTAGCTTTAGATTTAACATTTATATTAAAATTTAGATTTAACATTTAGATTTAGATTTAGATTTAACAATTACATTTAACATTTTGATTTAGATGTAACATTTAATATTTAGGTTTAACTGTGACATTATATTTGACATATTTCAAATATTGCTGTAAATGCTGTAAAAAGTGACTAAAAAATTCACAGCACTTTTTTTTAAGCTAAATGTGGCAAAACGTTGCTATTAATTTCAGTGTGAGCCACTTTACAAACGGCATCCCATACACGAAGCGTAGTACTCACCACCGTCTTGGTTTGCTCAATGAGTGCGATCACTGTGCTTCTCAGATGTGCATCTTTAGCAGCTGCATCAGTGAAGAGGAAGATCTCAGAACTGGGAGGAGCACCAGTTAATGCCAGCTGTATGAGGAAGAGAGGACAGCAATCATACGGTAGGTTTACCTTTACTTTTTTCCCTATTTTCAAGTTTTGCAGACAGATTATGTCTCAAAGGCATCACAGTACCTGAAGCCCTGAAAGACTCATTTCTGGAAAATCTCCTCCACCAGTTGCTGTTAGTGAATTAATAGCATTCCTGAAGACTTCTGGGTCTGTTGTCCTTGTCAGTGGCCCAAAATCTGAGGTTCAGGTGGAGATGCATGCATTTGTGGAGTGCTTCATGATTTACAAATACTGTTATTTTTCTTATTGTATTGCTGGCATTTTATTTGAGCAGTGATAATATTCAACCAACTATACAGCACATGACAGCACAAAAAGTCCACTGCTTTATATCACTGAGTTACAGTTTAGCAGGCAAGAGGATGAAGAAAGAAATATAAATTTTACTTCACTTCAGAGGGATAAAACATTAAGCTCATACCTGGATCATTGAAAGGTACGAGAATGTAAACTGAGGGCTCGTCTTGTGTTCCCACTCTCCTGTCGATTATATCAGAAGTGACAGTCCTCACTGCTGCAATGTCATCACTCATGCTTCCTGTCGTGTCGATCATAAAACAAAGAGGTTTACCAGATTCTTTCGAGATTCCCATCATCCTGAGGGATGGAGAGAAAAGGAAGGAGACGAAGAGATAAGAGATAAAAACTCTTTGCAATCCACCTCCTTACCATGCATATCTGAAACATACAGAAAGGGTTTCATACTGTAGGAATGGTTTGTCACCAGCAGCCCCTCGAATGTCCTCCAGGAGCTCACTGGTTGCAGCAATTGCCACATTTACAGCTTCCATGTGGAGGTGTCCATGGCTGGAGTCCAAAGTGTCTTTATTGATCCCACCTTTAGGTTCAATGTTACTTGTTCTATCAAGAAAACCTCCGTGGCTGCATTTTCCTGTTCAGCATTAGAAACAGAATGAGAACAAAATGTTTTATACATCTTTACATATCATTTCAGAGAATACCACACTGCTTTTTCAGGGACGAAACAATTTTTTCTGGCACTGTTTTTTTTTTTAGCCACACTAGAAACACGGCTCAAGTGATCGCAACACTGGTCTGATGGTTGGTCCACCACTTTGGTGCAGATTGAAATATTTTAACCACTAATAGATGGACTGTAATACAATTTTGTACAGATGGTCAGAGTGCCAATCACCAATGGCAGCAAAACATTTTCAGAGTTGTAAAGTGTCCCAAATTAATACTACATACTCATTCTCGCAGGTTTGATTGACAAAATGACAAATAAAGTGTACTCAAAACAGGCTGTGTGTTGGGGTGCCCAGTAGGTCACCTGGTGGAGCAGTTGCTCCATGTACTAGGGCTATGCCGGTGCCACAACAACTACAGATATGATTCCAACCTGCAGCCCTATGCTGCATGCATATTTGCATATTTGAATAATATTAACTCTCTTTTAGCTCTGTTTTAGGTCTTCATCGACTCCAGCTTTTTGACGGAAGTGAGAGTGAACCGAAACAGTCAAGATGTGGGTGCCAGACAGCTTGAGAATGAGCTTAAACTCACAATAAAGTTCTGTGAAACCAAGGGGAACTGCAGATTTGGGACATGATTCACACAGGGTGGTACTATTTTTGAATATTTAAGCAACAGACCTGACAAATATGAATTTAAAGTTTATATAGTTATTTAGGTAAGCAGGTAGGAAGGCTACCTTTTGGTTTGGAGGAAAAAAAAGGCACAAAATTAAAGTATCCTGAAGTAATTATCCTTTCCTGTAGGATATCCTCCAAAATGTTGTTCGTGCAGTCGTCTCCATTACAGTTGCGACAGGTTGCTCTGCTTTCAGCTGTGGGAAAGAAAATTTTGTCAGTCTTTTGTCTTGTGAAATAATCTCTGTAATCGCATTGCAACATAACATTTCCTCATCTCTGTTTCTTTTGTTTCAGTGACACGGCCACTCACACACTGACACAACATCATTTCTTTACCTGCTATGTTGCCAACGCTGGTGTCTGATCTGATCAGATTGGAGTTTGGGAGTTTGTTTCCCATCTCCACCCAGTTGCTATGACTGTAGAAATCCTATTATATAAAAACAACAACAAGCAGAGCATCTATTATCTAGCATATAGTATATTAATACCAAGATCTCTTTTCAGTAAGTCATATTAATGCTCCCTTTAACAGGTTGTTGTTGTGGAATTAAATAAATGTCAGTGCACACAATTTGGGCCTACGGAAAGAAACTGTTGTGCCGCTTGCTGAACTTGAGGGTTAGTTTTGAAGTGTGACATTGATTAAACAAAACTGTGATGTAAACAGAAGGAATGATAGAAAGAAGGCTACCTGAAGAGGGTGTAAGATTTGTCCCAGTTTTTCTCTGGCAGCCTCAAAGTTCTGTTCCCTGTTGCTGGCCTTCACAGCTGCCAATCCTTCTGTGATGATTTTCCTTCCCTCCAAAATTTGTTCATTGTCCATGTGATATCGTGCTAGGAAGAATAAAAAATAGTCTACTCGTTTATTCTTTGTTTGGATCAGTTGGATGGTTTGGAGGAAGCTCTTGGATGGCGCTTCACAGGCAGCAGCAACAGCATCAACAGTCAGAGACTGTGGACACAAACACACACAAAATGAATAATACTAATTATAAAGCCACTGGTCATTTAACATAAAAAGTCAATATAAAGTGGTTGACATTAATCCTTACAGGAAAAGTGAAGTCTTTGCCCTCAGCCAGGGCCAGAGCACGACATGTCTGCACAGTGGTATTTAAGATTGCTCTCTTAGTGATCTCCTGATGACTCAGAGATTCTCCGCTGGATAACCCAAACCCAGAAGCTCCAGTCTGCAGAAGCAGGAAACACAATGCAGCCAACCCAAACATCACTGCACAACCTGTCAGAGAGACTAACACAAACACAATAGCTTATTAGCTCAGGGTGTCCAAACATTTTTGAATGGGAGCCAGCTTAGATAATGGGAACATACTTGGGGGCCAGCCACTTCTCACATCAGATGGATTAATTAAAAAAGAAATCACAAACAAATGAGACAAGCTCAACTGGTTCATATTTCAGTTAAAATGTATTCAGCTTTAAACCGCTGCTGAAAGCAGCAGCCCCCACTGTCCTCACTTTAAGTTTCTTTGCTACCTAGAAGCAAATGTCTGCCGGTAGGTAACCATTTTGTTTGCTTGTTTACAGTCTGTTTATGAAAACACATCACTTCTGTCTGCATAGTTCCTACTTGTTGCATGTCTACAAACTGTACGATAGTCCTGCCATTGTGAAGTGAAGGAGAGAAATACAAAATGATCTTGCTTAATTAACCAATATTGTGTAGTGAGCCAAGATACACTGATATTTTTTTTAAAAATATGTCAAGTCAAGGGCTGTTTAAAATTGGCCCCCGGGCCGGACTATAGACATGCCTGATATTAGTCATTAGTCTGTGGTCCATAAAGTCGACTACTGCAGTAGAATATAGTAGGGATCACCTTTCATCCCAAAAGGATGATTCCTGAAGATTTTGCTGTCCATTGATCTAGAACCACCGTCAAATTAAAATTTAAGATAAACTTTATTGACTGCACACAAAGTTGCTACGAAAACATGTTTAGATTTTTGGTTATAAAATCAACCACCTAGAGTTGACAAACCTCTGAATAGAGCAGGATGTAACGCAATAAACACAGAATTTTACTGCAAAAGGATTTCTTTCCAGCACTTGAAAAGTCACGGAGGGTAACACATTATACAACAGTTCATTCCTTTACATCAACACAAAAGAAGAATAACAATTGTGGGCGGTTTGGTGTTTGGCTTTTTGGTTAATGGAATTTAAAGTTATTATTTTATAAACATTACAAACATTTATTAATATAGTATAAATTCTTTCATCCTCAAAATTCAAGACATGGAAACAAAACACTAAAACATTAACTTAACTGTTCTGGTACTGATTAATAAAAACATTTTTTTCCTAAATGATTTTCCTGTGTAATGTAGCCACAACACAGTGTCAAGCTGGTTCATATAAAAATGTAAAAACATAAACATATGACATGTTAGATATGATCATACTGTACCTTAGGTCTTGATGTTGACTTGTAAATTTCACTTTTCTGTAGCTACGACTTGATTTATAAAGCTTCATGTCCAGGGAGGAGTCCTTACTGTTCTGGACTGGTTTGACTTGTTGCCTTGGTCTGTTAACATCATGGGTATGATTTGGTTGTTGAAATAGCATGATGATGCAAACAGGATACTGCTACTTATAGTTGGCATAAAAGAAGGAAACAACAGAGCTTTCTGCTGTGACTGTTGTGATTTTTTTCATTTTCATTTCTTATGACAGGTGATGTGAGAAACCTGTTGTTTCACTCAAAGTACCTGACAGCAGATGACTGTATGTGCTACAGTACAATATAAGGACCAGTAAGGATCATTACTCCCATTTTACTGAAAACACATGAATCCTTACAACTGAAAACACTTAAAACATGGTCTTATTTAAATGTAAAGAAAAATGGCTTCTGTTTCATGTTCTGTTCATAAAGGAAACATCATCAGTGCATGAATCATGAGTACATTGTTGTAAAACCTTGTGGTACAGGACAGGGCCTTGCTGCCCATAGGGCAGGTAAGACAAATGCTATCCACCTTATTTTCAAACACAGAAGTAAATAGTGATCAACTTACGTTTTTTTGTGTGTGACTTCCGGTCAGCCGCTTTCCCTCATGCTTTCCCTTACCAGAGCTAATGGTGCAAGCTAATTTTTTTCAATTTTCAGTTGTTTATGTTAGTCAGTCAGTTAGTTAGTTAGTTAGTCTGTGTATTTTATATAGATAACTGTGCCCACGTTTCCGTTATAACGGAAATTTATTCCCTCTAAGCGCGAATAAATCGTACGTCAATCATAAACTATGAACCAAAAAAGCATATTCTATCCCGAGTGAGACAAACTGCTCGATCCCCGTCTCCAGTGTTCCAGCAGAGAACCTGCAGAATTGAATCAGCGACAAAACACACCGGGCTACACAGCCTCTCTACCTGAGCAGCTGAAGCTGCGGCTCGCACCCTCGACACACAGACACACAGACGGTGCTTCTGCATGCCAGCCAAACGTGTGCGCAACTGTGAGAAATAAATATGTGAGGTGTACGCTGCTTTTCTAACTTTTTTTTCCCTTTTCTTTCTTTCTGTCAGCGACATATACTCCTAACACAGGACGGGTTGTTTTAATTGACTGAGTTGATTATTAAGCCATAGTGATGCGCGGATCGGCTCTGATAGCACCTGAAACAGCATGTACGCATCAACCATCCAGCCGTTACGTGATTGAGCTAGCAAAGCAGTTTTGTGTTGCTATGTGTGGTAGTTATTCAGTTTTCGAAAATCATGATGTCTAGAAAGCATCAGTGGCTGCAGCTGACAGGGACAGCTAACAGCAGCAGCAAAGCTAACATCAGGACGTCATCTGTTAAAAGCCTCCCGTTGTCGGATACGACATGAAACTACTCCAGTTAGCTCAATCATGTTGTAACTAAGACATCCGCTGGAAAAAATATTTTTTTCACGGACCACTTTGTGAGTTTAGTGAGTTATTACAGACACCGCTAACGGCTAACAGCTAACGGTTAGCCCAGCTAATCTACGATAACCATGTTATTAATTACACACACAGAAATAGTAATGTTTGTTCAGTCATTGTGTTTATAGACTTTACAAACATCAGATTAGTCTAAACGGTGATACAGTGACGTGAAAAATGTGATATATACATATATATAGCTAAACTCAGCAAGGTAAACAACAAGACGATTCCCATTTACACAGTGGTAAGAGTGCTGGACCGGAAGTGTTGCACAAAAAAACGGAAGCTGGCTGCGTTCTGTTTTGCCTCCGTGTTTCCGTGAAAAATAAGGTGGATAGAGCCAGCATGCCAGAGGGCACCAGGGAGTGAGGTATTTTTTTTGTGGGGTTTTTTCTTTCCCATTCTATTCAAAAAATTAGACAAGAATACACTACAAAACAACAACAGTACATATAGCCATACGTCTTTAAATAATAATGAAATAATATTTCTAATTTAAATTTCTGCCTGCTTGGCATCCTTCTGTCTCTCTGGCAGGCAGCATCAATTTTGCCATGTTGCTCCCATCTTAGAGAAAGTTGGAAAGAAAGACTCAAAGTGTTTGGGGGAATGAATAAGCAACATAATTTATTATATTGGCCTATCTTTTCTTTTAATGTTTAGTGTGCTGCTGCACAAACCACTCACTGTAACCAGGCATATATTCATATACTGTATATTTATGTTTTCCAATTTTCAGATTTGTGCAATTTGTGATGTCACAGTTGCATTTTTTATATTTGGCAGTTTGCTGTGTTTAAAATGTCATTAGATCAAGGCAGGCTGTAATGTTAGGTGCTATTATGGTTATGCCATGATGGTTTCACAATCAACAGCTATTTGATTAATATATTGTAAAAGCCCAGTTTGTCAAATATACGTATCTCCTCTTTTTAGATGCACTTCTGAAGTATTTGTCCCCCACCTCTGCAAATCCTGGACCTACTAATGTAACTGCAGCCACCTCATCCACCTCAGCACCAAGTGATGCAGCCTCAAGTGCATCTCCCTCCCACACAAACTGCCAGTGGAGAAATAAGATCACATTTTCCGATCCCCTATGTAGACTGTTAAGAGATTAACAAGCTTTCTCTGCTTTCTCTGCTTTCTCCAACCTGATGGCCCTTCGCCTTCTGGCCCCAGTGATGCCCAGCATGATGGAGGCCCTGCAAAGGGACTGGCCTGCAAACCCTCTGCATCCCACCTCAGTGGGCTCACACCTTGCTTGCCACTCATTGCTTTGGCATTCTTCCACAAGCTCAACGTACTTTGCTCTCTTCTTCTCATTGGGCTCCTCAGTGTGGTGCTCCCATAACCACTTTCGCAAATACCGCCATCTTGGACATCGCGCAATGCATTGTGGGTATGCACTGATGCACCATCGGCCGCGATGGACACAAAAGATCACTTTAGTAATATGACTGTTCGTCAATTAAAACATTATTTATCAGAACGCGATATTGTAGTGTCAAATGTATTAAAAAAAGATTTAGTTGCCCGTTGCCATGCAGCATGTTTGTTAAATCTTCAACCGAAGGCTACACCGGAAGAATATAAAAAAGAAATTGCAAACCAGAGGCTGTCCAAATTAATTTTAGATGGGGACATAATCTGCCTACCTGATCCCGATATCCTCCGAGATGGTTGGAAAGACAGCCCATCAAGTTATCCACATCTGTTACAGAGTGGTATAGAAACATACTTTGACAAAAGTAAGTAATCAATGAGAATGTGTTTCCTAATATTTTTTTAATACTTGTTAGCTGTCTTGTTCATCTGCTCTGGCAATTTGCATGACATGTAGGCTACTATTAGGCTATACATTTTACTCCTTTGCCATGTATACATTTAGTAATGATGCCAACTAAATAGGCCTATGTGTTTTCTCTTATAGAAAACCGAGCAATTGACATTTTAACTGGTGGTGCCGAGGCTCCGAGGGATGGAAAGTCCCTTCACATGTCAGACCATGTCCATAATGTGCAATATCATGGCACTGGTGAAAACATGCCATATTGTTTCCTGAGAGCCACAGTGATCAGAGAAACCAGCACCTCTCTGGCACCCTATAAATGCTGGTTGATTGTAAGGCAAAAGCATTGTTGGTGGATGCCTTCTGCTCCTGTCCTGCAGGGTAAGCCTATATTGATTTGACAAACAATATCATGTTCATTGCAAGAAAATATCATTCTTATTAAAATCACATTTTCAATTTTTTATTTGCATTTTGAAAGAAAACAAGAAAAGCCTGCACACTGATCAGAAAAATGGAATGTCCACTCCAAAGGTAAATGGATGTAAAAGTTCCATAATGGTCCATCAAAAATATAAAAATACCAAAATGCTACTAATAGTGAAAAAAAAAACAAAAGAAACAGAAGAAAATTGAACAGAAACATTTTGGCTACACAGCCATCTGTTTCTTTTGTTTTTTCACTATTGGTAGCACATGTTATATTTTTTTATTACACGGCTCTATTAAATGCTGTATTCTGATTGGTCAGTAGCGGCATTCTACGGTCTGATATAACTGTGTAATGACCGCTGCTAGTAGCAACGGTCATTACACACAGTTGCTATGTAGCCCAGCGTTGCTAGGGATGCTGCCCTGCAACACTGCAGCTGTCAAACAACTTCCGAGGGAAAAAACAAACAGAAGTGGCTGATTTTAACGGATGCCGCTGAAGAAAAAGAATACCTACGGACTTTCTCTGCCAAAAACAAAAGAAGACGGATTTGAATACACACTCGGCAGTCATGCTTAATGACATTTTACGCGAGTTTTATGCCTCGGTTCAGTCCACTAAGCCTGGGTGAGTACAAAACTTTCACCAAAAGTTGTCGAATCCGGTCGGTTTTAATGCACTTCGCAGAGGCAGACAACATTATTTATTTAACTGATAATTAGCCGTGTAATAAGCGGGATAATGTATAATGAGCCGGTGAATACTGGGAAAATAACTCCCTTCAGGGGAATGAAGGGAATGTCGGGAGTTATTTTCCCAGTATTCACCGGCTCATTATACATTATCCCTTACATATTTTTGATGGACCATTAAATATGGAACTTTTACATCTGTTTACCTTTGGAGTGGAGTGGACATTCCATTTTTTTGATCAGTGTGCAGGCTTTTCCTGTTTTCTTCTTGACATTTTGTTTGGCCTACGCACCTGATGCGAGTTTTTTCCTTGGACTTGTAGTAAGACAAACACCCTTTCTTCTATTTTATTTGCAGTTTGAAAATGTTTTGACCAACACACTCACCCATTGTTTTTCTCATGTCCTTTCATAATACAAAGGTTACGTGGTACATGCAAGCATGTGGCATCCCTTTGCCATACGGTGATCGAGAGAGTGGTGAGGGGGGAAAACACAATAGTGACTCAACAGAGGCAAAAGTGGCATGCGCCATCCAAAAAGCCACACAGTGCAGAGTTCCTTGAAGACATCCATATTCAGAAAGTTAAAGGTGATGTTTTGTGTACATTTAATAATTGAATTTANGCCATCCAAAAAGCCACACAGTGCAGAGTTCCTTGAAGAC